ACTGATTTCGACAGTTCTCATTAATTCAGAATGGCCTCTTGGCAGGAAACAAAAAACGTCTAAAAAATCGCATAAAAATATCTATCTAAAGATGAAAATATTGATTTTGTAACATTTTCTCATATTTTTTTCAATTTTGTCATATTTTTGGCATATTTTCATTTTGAATTAAACATTTGGTAATATTTCTACAGCTAACAAAACTAAGTAGTTATGATATCATATACAGATCGCATTTATGGTCCGATCCTTACAAAATTTTACTCTTTTTGGAGATGATCGCAATATATTTAGGGGTTGAAATGGTCCAAAAAACTGCAAAATTGTCGGCAAGTCGTAATTATCGCCCAATCCTCACGCACATTTGAATAGGGGTTACTGGACATTGCAAAAGCCAAGCAGTTTTGGATGGCTATCCCAGAATATTCAATGTGCGAAATAGTTTGCCAACTTTTGTACACAAAATACGAAAATGTTTATCCCAGTGACTCTTTGGAGAATTCACAAATACAGGAAAGACGCACTTCTGACTATTTCGTTAACGCTGATTTCGTGGAAGAATATAGTCAAATGTCTGTATCTCATATAGATGCGTTTCAGTCAAAAACCAATAATATATGTTAATCTTTTGCCACTTCTGCGAGATGGGAAATATTAGTTCCAGATCTAGGAAGACCATTTACGTGCAACATCTACCAATAAATTGGAAATGAGCAAATTAGTTTAAGTTGCTATTATTCGAAAATTAGAGAACGAAACCTGATGGTTTTCTTTTATAATTTGTCACAATATCTTGTGGAATTCTTTCGAGTATCTCGCCTATATAAACAGTATCGTTTATTATAGTGTTGTAGGGTATTCAACGGTCGGCCACGCTCGACTGTAGCCTTTGCTTACTTGTAAAATATTCTAAAAATTTACCATTTCTGATGGGGTTCGGAACTCCTGAGTGCCCTTTGCCATTTCGGTGACTCCACGTAAACAACTATAGCCAAAAAAAAAAATAGCCGATTGCGTAAATATATCATTCCGCACAATCAATCAACAAAAGGCCTTTACAGATATTGTGAAAAGCATCCAACGCCTCACCTTGAAATGTTTTACAAAATCTTTGGCTCACCTTAGTATTATAATGTTTATAGCGGAACTCCATAAAATATTAAAAACCGAAAATGAAAAAGTCAATGGTTTTGCCCTTCATATTCGAAATTTGGATTCGGGTCCTGCTTACCATTAGAAATATTTTGAATTCCCTGCCTTATCCCTTAGTAAACATTACCATCTATCTTCACATAAATAAACGAACGTTGTTTTTGTTTCTAAATGGAATTAAGACTAACTATTTTGCGCCAATAAAATTTCAAAATACTATAAATTTGAATGTTCTGTAGAGCTAGGACAAACAGTGAAAATATATTAAAAAAGCGAAAGCGATTTCTCCAGGAAAACTAAATAATAATCAAATCAGTTGTCCACGATATCAATTAAAGAGCAAGATAAAAAAAATTGCAACAAACCCAGACGCCATAATTGTTACATTTTTTATTTTTTTTTTTTTTATTTCATTGAATGAAAGCAAAAAATGTCGGAAATAGCATAAAATTTTAGAATAAGTTTTGATTTGTTTGAATTGGCAGTTTTGGCACGAATTATGGCCTTTGCCATTCCCGGCGAAGCGCTTGCTTGAGGTGATCGACACTTTGGTACTTTTTAGTGCCAACCTTGCTTTCCAAAACACTCCAGACACAATAGTCCAACGGATTGGTTATTGGAGAGTTTGGTGCCATTGTGCGCTGGAAATGAAGCGAGGAATCTCATTTTGTAACCATTCATGGATGGCTCGTGCTGTGTACGATAGTGCTGAGTCCTGTTGGAATGTCCAATGTCTACGGCCAAAATGTTTGCGTGCCCAAGGCTTTAATACACCCTCCAGAATATTTTTGCAATAATATTCGGAATTTATTCTGATGCCATGTTCGAATAGTACCATCGGCTGTTATGGCGGCCCACACCATCACCATGGCCGGCGCTTGAGTTCTGGTAAGGTCCACATTTTCAGCTGACCTCTTTGGCAAGTTAACACGATCATTTTGTTTGTTTACAAACTGCTGGACAACGAATGTTTTCTCATCGGAAAAAACAAAATTCGGCAGTTTACCACTTTCGGCCAAGCGAAGCAACTCTTTAGCTCTTTTGAGTCTATTTTCTTTCTGTTGCGGTGTAAGTTCTTGGACTTTTTGGAATTTCAATGGCTTTACCCCGAGCTTATTTTTCAATATTTGCCGAATGGAATATTGCGATATGCTCAGCTCACGAGCCATTTTCCGGGCACTGCGACCCGGGCGACTTGATCGACGCTTCTTTACTTTTCGAACCATTTCCGCTGATGTTGTTGTTTTCTTCTGTCCACTTCCTTGACTTCGGGCTACGCTACCAGTATCACGGTAACGAGCAATGATACGACCACAAAAGATTTATTCACATTTAAATGATGGAGTTCTCTAACGATAGCAGCTCGTGGATTTCCAGCCAAATATAAAAAAATTGAATTTTTGAATTCCATTCACCCTGTATTTGTACCGTAATTGTTTCACCTATCGTAATTAAATTTCGTAATAGTGTAGAACCTGGACAGAAGAAAACAACAACATCAGCGGAAATGGTTCGAAAAGTAAAGAAGCGTCGATCAAGTCGCCCAGGTCGCAGTGCCCGGAAAATGGCTCGTGAGCTGAGCATATCGCAATATTCCATTCGGCAAATATTGAAAAATAAGCTCGGGGTAAAGCCATTGAAATTCCAAAAAATTACTTATGTAGGACAACATCTTCGTATAGCCCCCTATATAACGGGTTTGCTTTGAGCGGTATTTTTGGAAATTTTTTAAGTACCTTCAAAATGGTTGAGGTTATTAAAAGTTCGACAATAAAATTTTTCACTTTTTCGGAGTTGACTATTTGTGTGGAGGCACAAGAAGGAGTGGGTCGATATTGCCCATTTTCGAACTTAATACAAAAGGATGATGATGATGGATGTTTCAAATAATATATAGCCTTTCTAGCTAGCAATTTATTTATTCCTAATATTAAATTGTTTCAAAAACTTAGGTGAATAAAAATAATGGCAGCTATGCAGATATTCACGTAGCTGCCACTTTTTATACCCTACAACACTATGTGTTGGGGCTATTATAAGTTTGATTGGGCCAAAAATTTTGGAACACCTTGAAATATTGGTTTCCCACATATTAAAGTACATATGGATCTTGCTATCTCGCCGAGCTGAGTCGATCTAGCACTCTACAGGTCGCAATTATGACCGGATCTTCACGAAATTTAGAATGGAGGTAGGGCTAGAGCCAGAAAAGAAGCCTATTGCTTTTGGAAATGATCGAAATAAACCAAAAACTGAAAATGTTTCTTCTTTTGCAGATGCGAATCGAAGCGAAAGTTAGCATGGGGCTAGAGCTTAGGGCTGGGCAGAAGCCTTTTAACTTTGATTATCGTCGGGTAATATTCAGTAGGTGAAATAGACCACAGCATTTGTGTTAAATAAAATTCAAATTTCCCATTTAAACGCGAATATTTTTAATTCCGGCGATACACAATGTGTATATACAAAGGAAAGGGATGTTAGCTAGAATGCTTATATTTCAAGAATGGCTGGGCAGATTTTGTAAAATGTTGTCATTTCGGAATGAACTCTTGGCATAAAAGAATAAAATCTAAGCAAATCTCATAAAAAGATGCCAATAATTATGCTAATACAGATTTTGTAGTATTTCTGATATTTTTATATTTTTTCAATTTTTTATCGCATGCGATTTTTTAAATTTGACTTATAATATTGAAGTGTACAGTTTCTAATATTTGTTCACCTTACAACACAGGTTGGGTTTTATTATATACAGATTGCAATTATCGTCCAATCATAACGAAAATTCTAAAGCGTAGAGTTAGGCCCAGAAGGGCTAGGCCTATTGTGTTTAAAGATGTCCTCAATATATTTAGGGGTTGAAATAGACCAACAACTAAAAATGTTCCTGATTTTGCAGTCGTTATAAAGGTCACAAATACAAAACCAAAGGACTTGAAATCTCGCATGCAGTTAGAGCTTAGGACAACGGGTAGAATGGACCACAACTTTTGCGTGAAAAAAATGCAGACATTTCCATTCTACCGAAACGCTGAATATAACCTACAGGCGAAATCCAAAATACACAAATGGCGAACTTCTTCCTTTTTTTCTGCTGATTTCGTTGACGAATGTAGCCAAATATACTTGACTAACAAATCATATAGATGAATCTAAATTTGGAGATATACAGCGACCTCTTACATTTGGAGATGATCGCACAATATTTAGGGATTTCCAATGAACCAAAAACAGAAAACATTTCCTGATTAAACAATTTAAACAACACGAAATTTTGCATGAGAAGAGAGTTAAGGACAAGGAAGAAGTCTAACATTTTGGACGACCATTGGATTGTATTTCGCTGTAAAATGGGACAGCACGACGGAGTGTGTAAATATTGAGCAAATGTCCCAGGTCAAAAAGCTAAGGGTAATATCTAGGCAATGCTCCTTGACATAATTTCAACAGCGAAATCTCCAAAAATGGATTTGGACATAAGGGGACTTCTACAATATGGTAGTGTTGTAGGGTATCACATGGTCGGACCGCACGACTATAGCCTTTGCTTACTTGTTTAGAGTTAATTTTAATTCTCCGTTGAAAATATTTAAAATAAATACACAATTATCGCGGAATTTTTTCAATTTTTCAAAAAGGTTCAATCTATATATTTTTTTCCATGTAAATCTCTACCACGCTAAAATGTGTGCAATTTCTTCTAAATGTTTGTACAAGCCACAAATTGATCGTCAATTTTACGCCTCTTCCCTGGAAATGGATTTTCAATCGATGGTTTGTTTGGGGACCAAACAAACAAAGCCAAAAGGAAAAAAAATGGAAACATAAAAAACATAAAAGATGCTTACCTTGTGATTCCGGTGCGTGTTGAGAACATTTCCAAAACAAATATTTGCGGAAGACCACCATCATAGCCAGGTATACATTGAATGTCAACACTTAGCTCAGTTCGATTGAAGACGGTACAATTTGCAACGGCATTGGGTAGAGCTGGTGGCATAGAAATTCACGCACAAAAAAATATATGATACAAAGTGTTTGCAGAATTGGTCGTCATGGGTGGAGAATGAAGGATGTGATGGTCATCGGTGTTGGCAAGACAGATGTGAAGGTTATTAATGCGGCAGAATGATGATTGCCAAGTGAGAAGAACCAGGAGTTGTATTGTGGATATGAAAGACATTTTTTTTTTTTTTGAGTTATTATTGTTCAGAGAGGTCAAATTCGTCGAAAAGTCACCAGCATCCCCCGCATCCAGAACAATCCCCCAAATTAATGGTCACCATGGACATTTCCATACCAACCAACCAGCCACACAGCATTTTGCCATAACATCCACATCATTATCGCCATCGTGCCAATTGTTGATTTTTTTTGTATTCCAAGTTGGATTCATTCAAATGACATTTCATTTGTTTGTGGTTTCATTTACACCAACAACAATATTTGGTGCGTTGGTTGTCATGTTATTTGCCATAAGAAAATAATACACACACATGGGAGAAAGAAACGAACAAAAAAGAAAGAAATGGAATAGCAAATATTTAGTTGATTAAATAAACAAAATGTCGATGACAAATGTCATTGGTGTGTTGACACTTCTTGTTGGTACATACAAGTGACATAAGGCCACCACATATAAATACACCCACGCACATATAAATACACCCACACACACACGCACAGTAAGTGTGTATACGTATACTTACACATTCTGAGAAGTACTTGAAAATACAATTTCTCATGGAAATGTTCAAGTTGGCGAAAAAGGAACCCGGATGCACACTTTGGTGTTTCCTTGCGCGCATTAACCCATTGAGGACGAAACTTACACCTGGTAACACGAAAAAAATATTTACATGAAAAACTCAGTGGATTATGAAAACTGAATTAAAAAGTAACGACGTTTTTAAATTTAACATCGCGAAGTATTCTAAAAAGAGGGTATTCCACTATTCAATATTTTTTAGTATTATCGGATTAAGTTTACTTGGATTTCGGCATTTTAGGTATATGTTGTCTTCGGTAATATTTTTATTGACAATACAAGGGTTATCTCGCCCGAAAATGTTAACCCTCAAGCGTGTCAATATAGGGGTCTTTTTGACCCTTTTTATATTCTACACAACATAGTGGTAAGTTTTTTTTATGTCTCTGTGCATTTGTTTGTAAAATTGAGAAGGAAGCGAGGTAGACCCACAGTTACTTTTGAGGATCTTCATAAAATCACTATGTGATCGCATTTATCATCTGATTGAGATGAAACATTTGTTTGGCCCTATTAAAATTGGTGAGAATCGGTTCAAATTTAGATATAGCTCCCATATATATTTTCAACCGATTTCGAGTTAACTGGCACTAAATGGCCAATATCAACCCAAATTACCTGAAATATGGCATTTCTGACCGAATTTAGCTTTGAAGCAAGTACATCAAATTTGGGGGAATTGGTTCAGATATAGCTATAGCTCCCATATATATCTTTCATCCGAATTGGCGTTTAAGCTCTCACATTCGTAATATGCACCCCACAACTCTACTCTAAATAATTTTTTTGTTACGGGAGATCTAATAAGTATGCATAGTGGTGTAGGGTATCATAGTCGGCCCCGCCCGACTTTTGACTTTCTCTTTCTGGTTTCAAAATATAGAACTCCCTTTAAATTGGGACAAGTTCCCTCCCTTCAAAATTGTTTGACAATTTCGGTTTAAGATCCCTTGGAATCTATACGTTTTAGTTATATGGTGTCTTCAGAAATATTATTGATAATAATGCAAGGATTATTTCAGTATATAACTTTAACCCCCAAGCGAGCCATTTTAGGGGTCTATTTGGTCCTTTTTTCAAAATATTGTAGCTAGCTTCCTTTAAATTGGGAAAAGTCCCCCCTCTATCACGTTTTTTGACATTATCGGATTAAAATTACTTGGAATCCGCAAATTTAAGGTATATGGTGTCTTCGGTAGTATTGCTGATAACTATTTAAGAATTTTTCGATCGAAAACTTCAACCCTCTAGCAAGTCATCAAAGGGGTCTTAATTTTTTTTTTTTTCAAAATATTATAAAAAAACTCCTTTTAAATTGGAGCAATTACCCCCTCTACCATATTTTTGACATTTTTTGATTACGATTCCTTGGAATCTGCGGTAATATAAAAAACATTAACCCTCAATATGAGGGTCTTTTTGATCTTTGTTTGTATTGTAATAAGCTCCCTTTAAATTGGGCCAAGTCCTCCCTCTACCATGTTTTGATGTCTTCCGATTAGGTATATGGTGCCTTCGGTAATATTATAGATAAAAATACAAAGGTTATTTCCGGAGAAAACTTTAACCCTCAAGCGAGTCTTTTGGTCCTTTTTTTAGTATATTGTAATAAGCTCCCTTTGCATTTGGGGCAAGTTCCTCCTCTACCATACATTTTTACATTTTCGGATTAAGATTCTTCAGGATCTGACCGTTTTAGGTTTATGGTGTCTAGGATAATAGTATTGATAACAATATAGGGGATAGTTCGGTAGAAAACATTAACCCTCAAGCGAGTCACTTTAGGCATCTGCTTGATCTTTTTTTTTCAAAATATTTTAAAAAAGCTTTTTGAAGGCTCGGAAACGTTCATTCTTCAATTACCTGATTTCATTTCGGTCAAATCAACATTTGTTCTCTACATATTTTTATTTTACTCGTAATGATCTTTCCAACATTCCTCCCTTAATTTTAACCACAATTTTACTGACCTCCTCATAAGAAGTATACTAAAATACTGCCATGAAGAATAATAGGATATGTGGAGATTCAACCACGTCTTTGGTTGTGTGGCTTTTCAAATCTGAGTCGATATCTGTCATTGAAAGTTGGGTATAGATTGAACTACAGATTACGCAGTTGGGCCCCACTTTTGAACTTTTAACTTTTTTTGCCCAATGGAGTTTGGAAAATTTATCTCTTACATTTTGGTCGTATGTTTATATCCTCATTATGCGAAATTTTAAGGACAGTCTGAACTGAGTCGTTATCAGTCATTGAAAATTCTTGTCGTACAGATTTAGCCACCGATTTAGCAATTGGGCGCCACTTTTGAATGTAAGTTTAAATCACCTTTTTTCGCACTGGAGCTTCGAAAATTTATCTCCTACGTTATAGGCGTATGTTTATATCATCATTATGAGAAAATTAAAGAACGGACAGAATTTGAGTCTTTACTAGTAATTGAAAATTCCTGTCGTAAAGATTGATCCAAAGATTAAGTAATTGGGCGCCACTTTTGAAGGTAAGTTCTTATCCAATATTTTGCACACTGGAGCTTCGAAAACATCTCTCTTATATTATAGACGCAGGCTTATATCTTCATTATGAGGAATTTAAAGGACAGACAGAATCTGAGTCGTTACCAGTCATTGAAAATTCATATTTTTAAAGATTGAGCTACAGATTCAGCAATTGGGCGCCACTTTTCAACATAACTTCAAAACAACTTTTTCACCCACTGGAGCTTCGAAATTTTTTTCTTGGATTCTAATAGCATGCTTATATACTCCTTATGAAGAATTCAGAGGACAGACAGAATTTGAGTCGCTACCAGTCATTGAAAATTCCTATCGTAAAGATTGAGCTACATAATCAGCAATTAGGCGCCACTTTTTAACGTAACTTCAAATCCACTTTTTCACCCACTGGAGCTTCGAAAATGTGGACGTATGTTTATACCCTCAATATGAGAACAGGATCTGAGTCGTTGGACAGAATCTGAGTCGTTGCCAGTCATTGAAAATTCCTGTCGTAAAGATTAAGCTACAGAATCAGCAATTGGGCGTCACTTTTGATCGTAAATTCAAATCCACTTTTGTCGCCCACTGGATCTTCGGAATTGTCTCTCTTACCTTACAGTTGTATACTTATACCCTCATTATGAGGACAAAATCTGAGCCGTTACCAGTCTTTGAAAATTATTGTCATAAAGATTGAGCTACAGATTCAGTAATTCGGCGCCACTTTTGAACGTAAGTTCAAATCCGCTTTTTCGCCCACTAGAGCTTCGAAAATTTCTCTCTCAGATTATAGTTATATGCTTATATACTCCGTATGAGGAATTTAAAGATCGGAATCTGGATTCTGAGTCGTTCATTGAATATTACTGTCGTGAAGATTGAGCTACCGAATTAGGCACCACTTTTTAATGAAGTTTAAATTAACTTTTTGCCCTCTGGAGATTCGAACATTTCTCCGTATATACTCCTTATGAACAATTTAAAGGGCGTGTATAGTTGTTATACTGTAAGATTATGTGTCTGTGTCGCTTTCATTGAGAGTTGGTTAAGGACTCAGCGACGGATACGGCAGTTGAGCGCCAATTTTGAACGCTTAAAATTTGATCGCAGTAAGTCAAAATATTTCGCTGTAACCTGTGGAAATATTTATGTGTTTTTCATAATATGTCGCTCACAATGGGTTAATGGCAATACACATTCATTTCTTATGTGTGAATGGCGGCACTTATATTAAGTTGTTGTGTTAACACATCGACGACACAACTCAAGCACTTTTGCTCTTTCACTTCTGGAGTGGAAAAGTGTTCGCTTATTTACCTGCCAATACAACCTGGAAAAGACATGGTTGACTTTGGGTTCCGACTTCATTGGAGGCCCAGCATGATAAGGTGCCATAGTCCTGGAAATGAGAGGGAAATAGTTAAAGAAAATGTGGGAAAAATATTTAATGTTCACATAAATTTAAATTCTGTAGGCCTTTGGAAGACCAAATATCTGAAGAGCAGTTTTTTTAGCAAAAAATTGAGAATAAATTCCGAAATATTTTCACTTACCTGATCTGTAACTGGTGTATATTTCAAAATACTTCGGCTACCATTCACACTGAAACGTTCACTGCCCACATCCAAGGTTTCACCAGAGTTATTGAATTTCCAACGAAATGATCTGCAAGAAACGCAAAAAGAACAAACATTAGAAAATCGAAAGAAAACAAACAACAATTATGACTTTGAAACTCTTTTCTAGAATTGAAATTGAAAATTTAAAGTCTACAAGTTTAGTTTCTCTCTTGTCGTGCCCACAGCTTGCATTTTCATCGCAGCTGGCCTGCAGAAGTGCAAATCAACAAAACTTGTAATGGGAAAAAATCTACAAATATTGTTTGGCCCGGTTCGAACATTCAATTTTTGAGGCAGCAAAAAAAAACTTCAATTAAAATCCTTTTTCTTCCCCATCCCCAGCAGTTTACCAACAGCCAACAACAGCTTGAGCGCATAGTCATCACCATTATCATGGGCATCTTCATCAGAATCTTTTTCTTAAGTTTTCAATTTCAATTTTTTGTTTTCTTCTTTTTTTTGACTTCCTTGGCAAACTAAGATATCTTTTGTTGCAGCAAATGGCTAAGGAAGGTTGCTTTTGGATGTCTGTTGTGTATGTGTATTTGTTTTCACTTTTTCTTTCATTCCTTATTTTTTGGAAACTTCCTTCTTGATTCAATTTCTTTTTTTATTTAAACTAAAGAAAAAAATCCAAAGAAAAAGTTACCAAAAGAGTTTTACATTCATTCATTCTTTTTCCATGGTTTTGGTAAATTAAATTTGTCTTAAAGTGACATGAGTGATGTGAAAAATTGTAAAGTTTTTTTTTTTTTTTTTGCTTTTTTTCAGAATACTTTATATTGAATAGGAAATTCAATAATTGTTTGCACTTGTCACATATGTGTGTTAGGAGGGGCATGAATTTTGGGATGCCTACCTATTGTAGGTTTTAGTTTTAAAAAGTTCTAAAGGCATGTTTATCCAAAATATTTTTAATTTTTCCTTTATAGAAAGTTAAGTTTACTTTTGAGAAATAATTGAAAGTTGATTTAAGACAATTGGGAGTGTTTTAGAGGCATAGACACATGTAATAAAGTGTTAATTGAGTTCGAAGGTTTTTTCAAGAAAGACTTTAAATTTTGTGGAGATATAAAGTAAAAGACTTTAGATTAGAGATATTAAGTTTAGAGTCATTATTTTTTGCAGATATGCAGCTCATGGGGAGGAGTAGACTGAAGATCTCAGGGGAAGTAAAATCTAAACCCAATCTTTAGTGACGGGTTGTTATTCAAGCTCTCAATCCGACAGGATCAAAAATGTGTCATTGAAATCCAAAGGCAAGTTTTTACTCTGATAAACCATTGAAAGGTAGCGCTGCAGACTCTGAGTGTAATGAAATAAAACTTAAAATTCCGCTCAAATTCCAAGCAGAAAAGTTTATTCCAAAAAAAAGCAAATATTTGGTTAAGGTAAAATTAGACGAAGGAAGCAAAAGAAAATGAACCATTTGGAGTAGGTATCAAATACTACGAAACCCCGAAGTAAAAATTATTTCCAACTCGTTAAGTCTCGAACAAACCAAGTGCCAAGTGAGGAGGAGGAGGTCAGTAAAATTGTGGTTGATATTAAGAGAGAGTACATTGCAAAGTTCACTACAGAGATACGGCAAATTTATGGAAAAAAAGGTTACGGTGAACCGAAATGAAAGGAAGGAAAGTAGGAATAACCTTTGCTTATGTTCACAAGGGATCGGAGGAACCGAACACTGTAAAAACTCTGAATCAAAACGACTACAAACGGCTGGGAAGAAAATAAAGGGAATAACAACTCGAGAAGATTGGACAACAACAATTTCTACGAAGAAATTTTTAAGAAGATATTTTTAAAATCTCGAATGGATGGTAAAATCTTATAAAGGCGCTTAAAGAATAACAAAAATTTAATAAAGCCTTTCTGGGTCTTTAAAACTTTGGCAGGTCTTCAACAAATAGAGAGAACATAGAGAACCTAAAGAGAACATTAAACAGAAGTGCCAAAGAAAGGGATGACCTTTCGATGGATTTTTTTCATGGAAAAATGCCTTTCGATACATATTTTATGGTCGCAGGACTTCACGAAATGCAAAGACGGCTGCACAGCTTTAATTTGAATAATAAAATATCTATAAAGGTCCTGAAGGGTCCTCAATTTTATAACTCTTCTGGAAATTGAAAAAAAAATGTACTGGTATTCGGTAAAAGGAAGTCTGCTTGAGAAGAATCAAAGAGAAGCTTTCCACAACAAAAGACCTTTTAAGAGTTTATTATTAAAATGTAGAATCATTCTAGAGAGAGTAAGAATGGAGCAAAATTAAGGTGCGGTTCCCCAAACATGAGAGACAATTTCCATCGAAAGATTTTTCGGTGTGTCCTGAAGGTTAGAAGTTAAATGGGGGAAGTCGTTCTTGGTAGTCGAGAAGACAAAGATAAGTGCTGCACGAACAAAAGTACCCTACGAATTTATCGGCAGTGAGCGAAAAAGTGGATTGGTACTTACATTCAAAAGTGGCGCCCAAATGCGTAATGTGTTTTATCTAACATTCAATGAAAGAAAATTTTATATTAGAGAAAATTTTTCGAAGCTCCTGTTGGGAAAAAGGAGATTTTAACTTACGTTCTAAAGTGGCGCCCAACTACAGAATCTGTAGCTCAATATCTACCAAACTTGCAATGACAGCTACCGACTCAGAATTCAATTAAGCAATTCATATAAGCAACTGTCTCACAAATCAATCAAGTGACGCACATCTGAGGAATCTCTAGCTAAGTCCTCAACTGACTTTCAATGAAGGATAATAGATCTAACAGCAACACAGCTTTCTGCTTCCTTTAAATTCCTCATAACAAGGATGTTGGCATATTTCTATGATCTAAGAAAGAAATTTTCGAGTGGGCGAAAGAGTTGATTTGAACTTACGTTCAAAGGTGGCGCCCAATTGCTGAATCTGTAGTTCAACCTTTAGCCAATTTTCAATGAAATGTGGATAATCAGACCCTGAATCTAACAGTACATATTAGAATACCACTTTAATGTAAAGAGAGATTCTCAAAGCACCAGTCGGAGAAAAAAATGTGGATTTTAAATTACGTTCATAGTTGGCGCCCAATTACTGAATCTGTAGCTCAATCTTTACGACAGGAATTTTCAATGACTGGTAACGGCTCAGATTATGTCCGTCCATCAAATTCCTCATAATGGGTATGTAAGCATACAAATATAATGTAATCTGTAGTTTAATCGATACCCAATTTTCAATGACAAGTATCGACTCAGATTCTAAAAGCCACAAAATAAAAGACATCCTTGAAATTTTTCATATCTTCTTATTCTTCATTGCCATATTTTAATATACTTCTTATTAAGAGGTTAGTAAAATTGTGGTTTAATTAAAGGAAAAGTGTTGTATAAATCACTACAAATAAAATACAAATATACAGGAAACATACATTAAGTTGGCTAAAATGAAATCGGGGGAATACAGAACGAAACGTTTCCGAGTTTTTGGCTCTATTTTTTGAAAAGTCAATCCCGGTGAAACCTCCGAGTAATGCATATAAACAACTTGTAATATTTCGAACAAGTCAAGTGCATAAGTGGGAAAAAGTATGTTTAAATCTACTTTCAAAAGTGGCGCCCAACTGCGGAATATGCAGCTAAATCTTTATCAAGCATTCAGTGACGGGTAACGACTCTGATTCTGATAGCAATTAAAAACGTCCTTTGAATTCTTCATAAAGAAGTATACTTCTATAATCTAAGATAAACATTCTCGAAGCTCCAGTAGACAAAAAGTGGATTTGAACTTACGTTCAAAAGTGGCGCCCAACTGCTGAATTTTTACAACAAGTACCAACTCAGATTCTGAATTGAAGCACTATGTGTTCATGTCAAAACTAAATTGTCCCAAATATAGTACAGTTTAGTACTTTTCGTGCACTTGTAGTACCCATTTCCAAAACCATTTCTTTATCACAGACCTACTACCGGAAGGCACCCCAATACATAATTTCAAAATTTCAGCTTCCTCCGTTAACCCTACACCAAACTGTGCCAAATTAAGTACCATTTAGTACAGTTCGCTCATTTAGTACAGATTTGAAAATCAACGTTCAACTGTTCCAAATATAGTACCATATAGTTCAGTTCGTACACTTAGTACCCATTTTCAAAACCAATTTTATATTACAAACATACTTTTCCATATTAATCCTCGCACCGAATTCTTAGTTCAATCCGTTCAAATAATACGAAATTTAACAATTAAAAAAAAATTCAACCATTTTACAACTTTTTGTTACTTTTTGTTCTCTATTCACATATTACGAAACTTTAACATTTTAAAAATTTAGTACCATTTTACAACTTTTCGTTTCTTTAAAGTACGAAGTTTCAACAATCTTTCATCTATTCTACATTCCATCAGTGACTCTGATATCAAATTTTTTGTACATCTTTGTACTTTTCTTAACACGCCTGTGCACCAAATCTGACCTTCTGCAAAATTTCAAAATTCTAACTTCAGAACATATATTCTTCATATATATATTCTTCATCAGCATAGAATTCTATGTTGATTAAGCGCTGCCCGTCCGTCTGTCCATCTGTCCGTCTGTGGAAATCAATGTAGCTTCCGAACAAATCAATGTAGTTGATAAAATTTTACTCAAATGCAGGACTTTTGGTACTGAAAATGAGCCATGTAGGTCCACGTCTTCGTATAGCCCCCAAATAACGGTACCTCCCGATATGAGGTATTTTGATGATTTTAGCTACATTATTAACCGGAATTGTTTCAAATTTGGTATTCGAAGTTCGAAATGGATACTACAGCCTATGACAGAAAAGGTTCACGTTTTGGTATAGCCCCATATAATGTCACGTCCCTATATTCGGTATTTTGATGATTTTAACAACATTATTCACCGGATTTCGCATTTGAATATTGTAATGGCTTATGACAAAAGTTGCCTACGCAGGTCCACGTCGTCGTCTAGACCCTAATTTAACGGCTACATTCGGAGGTTATGCAAAATTCGGGCCAACCGAACTTACAGCTTTTTAACTTATTGTTTTTGTAATTCGCCG